CGCGCGGGCAATTCACTGCGAGTCGATGAGTCGGGCGGGCGCGGCATCATGGCGACGTTCACGACGGCAGACACGATGATGATAGTAGTGATGCTGGTGACGATGATGACGATGACGACGGCAAGGCCAATGACAACGCCGATGCTGATCACGCCGATGACGATTTAGGTGTCCACGTGTCGTTGGCGAAGGCTTCCGCAAAATTTTGACACGCGCGCGCGGCCGACGGGCGCGTGCGTCCGGAATGGAATTCTTCATCGCGGATCGCGCCCCCCCCCCTCGCATGTGCGCAAAGGCGCTCGAATGATTTCGACACGCGTGCTCCAAAGGTCCGTTTCTCAAACAGAAATCGCCGGAGCTCGTGCGGCCTAAAAAAAAAAAGTTGGGACATCGAATTGGAACAAACTATTGTCTTTTTACAAACAATAAATCTGGCGCGACCCCAATGTTAAAACTTCCTACTGCATGGGCGCAGTGTTCGACATTGCTTGGCATTGCTTGGGCTCGTTTGGCATTGATTGGCATTGCTTGGCTTTCCTTGGCGTTGCTTGGCGTTGCTTGGCATTGCTTGGCATGAGGCACCGGGGACGAAGATCCTGGGGAACCCGTACTTGGCACTGCTTGGCATTGCTTGGCTTTGATTGGCATTGCTTGATATTGGGCAGGGAGCCCGGGGAACCCGGAGATCCTCCGGACAACTGGCAACGTAAGAATAGGAGGCACCAGGGGCGGGGTACCCGGGGAACCTCCAGGCAACGGGCAAAGTAACAACAGGAGGCACCAACCTTTAACCAAGTAAGAATCCCTTAGGCAAGCCGATCTGTCACTCGCTTTCAAAATCAGTCCGAGCTAACGGTTTGTGTAAGGGTTTCGGCATGCAAGCGCGACCACGCGCACGTGCACTTCGCCCGTGTTTTTGTTTTGTTGCAGCGGACTGTTGAAAACTGCTGACTTGTGATCCACGAGGTTGCTTGCATAGTTTTACCTGGCATGGGTGAGGCGGGGTCGAACCCGGCCTGGCTTGGATGGTATGGACCCAAACTTAGAAGCAGCGACGGGGCAGAATCATACGTGAACTGCGCATCCCCCAGCGGGTACGCATAAAACCAGCGCCGGGGGTGCCGGCTGGACGCGGCGACGGTCGGCGACGGCGCGCCGAAGGGGCGGTGATGGCGGCACCATAGCCGCCAGGCCGACCGTCAGGCCCAGACAACGGGCGGTGACGAGGCGGCGGGGGGGCGGCGACGGCGACTACATAGCCGCCAGAGCGGCCGTCAGGCCCAGACGAGAGGCGGCGACGAAACGGCGACGGGGCGGCGACCGCGATTACATAGACGCCAGGCTGGCTGTCAGGCCCCGCTCCCTGTAACAGCATTAAGAAGCCCTCAGTGCAAGCCCTGTGTGGGAAATGTATATTTATGTGTATATATATAGAGAGAGAGAGAGCGGACTGATAACCACTGCACAGTTGACCGTTCGAATATTCTCGAACATGGTTCCGTACAAGTTACTTGCGAATTACGCCAAGTGCATCTGTCTCAGAACAGTAGCAGGTTGGCCGTTGCCTTTGAACGTCACGAGACAGACAAAAGACGCTCCAACTCTTCAGAAGGAACACCCTTACTGGTAGCATCAGTACCTGCATCTCGTGGCATCAAGCACTGTGCCGCGCCTGCAACTGGTTCGCACGAAAATCACACATCGACCCACGGCACATTGAATGATGAAAACATATGAGTCGTCTTTCTCATCCGCCTCACTCCTCCTCCAGTCACACCCTTCCTGCTCATCTTGCTCTTCATCTACCGCCAGATCGACTTCCTCATGCCGATGCAACCTTTCTCCCCATCTCTTCCTTTCTTATCCTCCAGCCCCGCCCTAATTGTTCGACAGCCTTTTCGAGACTCACCCTCTATCTTGCTCCTTCTCCCACTTCTTCTCGTTCTCCCTCCTCCGCGTCATCCTGTCTCCTCCATGCCCCTGTCTCCTCATTCTCCAGCCCACCCCCCTTCTCGCGATCCCTCCTCAGCATTTTCGCACTTCCTCCTTACTCGTCCTCCCTCCTCCTGCTCCTTCTCTTCGGCAACTTCCCCCAATTACTCATCCTCAATCCTTCTCCTCCTCCTCCTCCCGCAGAAGACACAGAGCAAGGAGCGATATAGAGAAAGAGAGAGAGAGAGAGAGAGAGCCGAAAGATCCCCTACGGCGCGAACTTCCCGCGGCGTCCATGAAGGACCGTGCGGTGTGCGCGGGACCTCTCACCGGAGCAGCTGCAGCAGCTCCTTGGTGACCTCTGGGCGGGGGGAGTGGGGAGGGAGGGATGGGGAATGGAGGAGGGAAAGGATGGAGGTCGGAGAGAGGAAGGATGGGGGAGGAGGGGGAAAGATGGGGGAGACGAGGGAGGAGGGAGAAAGAGGCGAAGGAAGGAGGAGCCGCAGGGCAACGTGGAGGTTGGGGGAAGAGGAGGTGAGGAAGGAGGAGGAGGAGGAAATTGTCTTCCTCTACTCTACGCTCCTGCTGCTGCTCCTCCTGACCTCCATTATCTTCCTGATCATCCTCCTCATTACCTTCCCTTTCATCCTTCTTCCCGCTACTCCACTTCATCCTCCTCCTTTCCGTCCCGTCCCCCTCCTCCCTCCTACTCCTCCTTCCTACTCCTCCCTCCTCCTCCTCCTCCTCCTCCTCCTCCTCCTCCTTCTTTGAGGAGAAGACGGCGACGACAGCGGAAACAACAACGGCAGCATCATCGCCCGAATGACCTCGAAGCGCACGGATGAGAGCACCGCTCTCCCTGTCGCGGGTCTCAAAAACAGCCGTCACCAGTGCCTCCCCACACGCCCCCCACACACACACACACACACACACACACACACACACACACACACACACACACACACACACACACACACACACACACACACACACACACACACACACACACACACACACACACACACACACACACACACACACACACACACACACACACACACACACACACACACACACACACACACACACACACACACACACACACACACACACACACACACACACACACACACACACACACACACACACACACACACACACACACACACACACACACACACACACACACACACACCACACACACACACACACACACACACACACACACACACACACACACACACACACACACACACACACACACACACACACACACACACACACACACACACACACACACACACACACACACACACACACACACACACACACACACACACACACACACACACACACACACACACACACACACACACACACACACACACACACACACACACACACACACACACACACACACACACACACACACACACACACACACACACTCTCTCTCTCTCACACACATACACACATGCACGCACGCACGCACGCACGCACGCACGCACACACACACACACACACACACACGCTCAAACTCACACACACACACACTCTCACACAAACACACACACACACACGCACACACACATACACCAATTCAACCCCTCCAAAAGAAGCCGGGAAGGTGTGGATAGAAACGGCCATTGGCCATGGGCACTGTGCACTGGATTTCTCGCCGCTCCAGGTGAACGTGAGCGCCATTCCCACTTCTTCTCTACATCCTAATCCTCTGACTCCACAGCCCTCCGACTTTTCCTCCTAGACAAGCTGCGGTGGTGATTCACTAGCGACGTTCGCACCCTCCTTACTTCTCCGTGCGGAGGGGAGGGAGGGCAAAGGCGGGTGAGCAGAGAAGGGAGTGTGAGCAAAGAATGCCGACCCCACCACCGCGAGCGCGAGTAGCCAGGCAGGGTCTTCCTGGTGGTGTGGACCCCCTGTCTTGCGGCGCCACGCTCTCGAGACGTCTGCAACCGCCAGCTCGGGGAGGCGGGTGGTCAGGGCTTTCCAGCTGCGGCTCCATGTAGCGGATTCGGTAACTCCTGAACCCCAAAAGCGTTCCATCTCTTGAGGGATGCGGCGATGCATCCTTTCCTTCTGCCAGCTTCCGCCAATCCGCTGCCGGCTTCCGCCGGCGGAGGCGGCCTCGTTTCACGATATGTTCGCCGGCTCTCGCTGGCCTGCCGCCGCCTTCCGCTGAGGAAGAGCGACCCACTTCTTCGATCCTTCCCGGCGAGGCCCTCTCTGGAGCGCCCGGCGCACCGGGGTGCCCCTGGCGCCCCGATGCCCCGGGCGTGCCGCTGCACAGGGGGGACAAGTGCCGCTGCACAGACGTCCCCCCCATGTGGCACTCCCCTGGGCCACCGAGCTTCGCGCGTGGCAGCGCGCGCGATGCGCGGCTACCTTCGCTCACTCACGCTGCCGCCCACTGGGGAAGTTGCAAGTTTCCAAGACGAGACCTCGAAGCTCGAAGCGCAAATACCTTCTTGCCCCTGTTCTCCCCGCCCACTCCTCTACTGGTGGTTTCCCGCAAGTGGGGTTAGAGCAAATGGGACTGCCAGGCCGCACCTCATCCCGAATGCATGGGCGATGCACTGGCGACCCGGAATTGTAATAATCGCGTTTCAGATCGAACCGCATCACCGGCGCATCGGCCACGTGGTGCGATGTAGTGCGATCAGGGCCAGTCCTGCTCATGAGGCATGGATTTACCCTTCCTCGTCCTGGACCTCGCCTCACTCCAGGGAGGGGAAGGGCATGGGGGCACTGGTCAATTGGTTCTTTGTGGTCTGTTTGTTCTGGGCCCGTACCAGTCCAGTCCGCGATGAGCATCTCGACGCAGTTTCCCTCACGGAAGGCGATCTTGCTGAGCATCATTCTTAGCAGCAACTTCGAGTGCATGTCGATCTGCAGCACTGCCAACTGCGCGCCGTCAGCGGTGCGCGATCGCGATAGGCTCGAGCCCCTGGGGCCAAAATAGGACCCCACGGTCTCGGCGTCCTTGAGGCCCTTTGCGGGACACGGCACCCCGATGCGCACCGGGTTCAGGATGAACTTGATCCTCTTCATCAGCGCGTCCTCAGCGATGGAGGCCTTCATCGGGCAATTACCGCGCGGGCAGGTGCGACGCAGGCAACTACCAGCTCGCAATGATCTGGCAGTCCTGCTCCCGCTGCTGCTGCTGCTGCTGCTGGTGCTGGTGCTGGTGCTGGTGCTGGTGCTGGTGCTGGTGCTGGTGCTCCTCCTTCTCCTCCTCCTCCTCCCCCTCCTCCTCCTCCTCCTCCTCCTCCTCCTCCTCCTCTTCCAACTCCTCCTCCTCCTCCTCCTCCTCCTCCTCCTCCTCCTCCTCCTCCTCCTCCTCCTCCTCCTCCTCCTCCCCCTCCCCCTCCTCCTCCTGCTCCTCCTCGCCTCACCATCCTAATCGTTCTGCATGGAAGACAACTTTCCTGAGGGGAACGGTTCGCCGAGACCACCCTTGCATCCTGAGCAGTTCTTGGGCGCCCGAGTTATCCGGGGTAACGCGGGTCCGGGGTAACTCGGGTTTGGAATCCCGAAAAACAGCACCCGAGTTAGCCCTGACCCGAGTTACCCCTGATGATTCGGGGCTCTGGACGCCCGAGTTATCCGGGGTAACTCGGGTCCGGGGTAACTCGGGTTTGGATTCCCGAAAAAGGAACCCGAGTTAGCCCTGACCCGAGTTACCCCTGATGATTCGGGGCTCTGAAGTTCTGCAGACGGCCCTGGGGACTTGGAGGGGTCCCAGGCAGAAGAACACTGCACATCACTCTGCTTCGAGCGATCCCCACCCGAAGAACGCGAGGCGGGATACCCAAGGAACACTGGCACACGCTGGGCCTGGCGGTTGCGGCACGCGCCCGTCATTCGTCGAAGACGCGAGGCGGGATGCCCTCGGAGCACTGTCCTGGCACACGTTGGGCCTGGCTGCCGCGATATGCACGGTGTCCGGGAGCTCGTGGCATGAGAGTCTAACATCCCCCAACCGCCAAGTGGGGAAGAAAACACCTCAGCACCCCTCTGCCTCCAGACCTCCCACCTCTGTGGCTGATTCATCCTCTCGTCCCCCGAGGCCTCCAGCCGGGCGAGGTCCGTGGCCTCGGACGCGAACACCAGCGAGACGTCGCCGAAGTGCAACCAGCAGACCACGTAGGCCCTCGTCGGGTCCCGCACGCCCACGGTCGGGTCCGTCGAAGAGGGGGGCCAGAAAGAGAGCCTGGGTTGCACATCATGGCCCGACGCATGCGCTCGGACGAAAGGAGGGACAGGGCACGTATGGAATGGGGAGAAGGGGGTCGTGAGATCTAGGAGACATCATGGCCCGGGCCATGGTATCCCCCCCTACAGCAGGCACGTGCGACAATACATTTCGATTCAAGAAGACTTGAGGTACATTCTCCGTCGATCTTTGTCCGTGCGTGCCCCAGAGCATCTGTGGGTCCACAGGGCCATCAGGGGATCAGAAACTGCTGGTAGGCCGAGTTTTTATTCCATGTGCCAGCTGTGCGCTTGACTGCGCTAGATCGCCACCAGGCGTCTTTAATAATCCAAGCCGACCCGTTCGGCCAGACACCTGGGCAATCCCAGAAGCCAGGCAAGCAGACATGTTTCCGCCTGTTGCTCCCCACAGGCCATCCAGCCCTCACAGCAGAGCGAAAATGAGGTGCGCCAACTCCGGGAGGTAGAGGAAGAGGTGACAGAGAAGGGGGAGGAGGAGGAGGAGGAGGAGGAGGAGGAGGAGGAGGAGGAGGAGGAGGAGGAGGAGGAGAAGGAGATGTTGGCATGTCCTGCCCGCGCTGTAGCGCCTGTGCAGTCCTCGCTGTCCGCTGCGCCTGCTCTGGTCCTCGACCCCCTCTTGGGCGCCCCCGCGATGGCCCTGTACACCTCCTCGCACTGGCCGTGCTGAACAAGACCTCGTCGCCCCCGCTCCACTCTCGCCTCGCGCCGCGGTCGCCCCGCCGCTCCCGCGGCGGGCGGGCGGGGGGGGGACGTTCGGGGGGGACGTGCTCCTGCCGCGGGCAGGGGACGCGAGAGCGAGCAGACGAGGCCTGCCGAGGCTCGAGGCTCGAGGCTCGCGGTTTTCCTGCGCTGTCGCCGGTTCTTGGCGGTTTCCCAGCCTCGGGATGTCTTCCAGCAGCTGCGCCTCGCCGAGAGCATTCCGGGGGTGCCTGGGTAGTCCCCAACGGCCGGCGGAGAGCACAGCTATGGCCCGAACACGAAGGGGGAACGGGGGGACTGGCTCAGGAGGGGAACATCGACCTGGAATCGGCGATACGTCAAACATCCGCGATCGCTCGGCGACACGGTGGGATCATTGATCGCTCGGCGACACGGTGGGGAACCATTGGATAACGGGTCCAGGGTCTGGAAGCCAGAAGAACACCAACTGAGGCTCGGTCATGGCCGCCACCACCACCCTCATCAGAGAAGGAACCCTCGGCGCTCCGAAGCCTCCCGGGCACATTCCTTCGCGAACGAGCCCACCGTGGGCCCTCGGTGGCAACTCCGCACGGTCCTGGGCGGGGCGTGCTGTCGGGCCCCTCTCGGCGATCGGCTGGCGACTGGGGGTCGGTGCACCTCCCCCCGAGCCATGGCCTCTGAGCCGGGCGGCGGGCAAAGCAGTAGCGATCCGAAGGCATCTCGGTCGGCGGCTCACGGCCGGGGCCCTGAGGGATGGAGCCCTGAGGACAGGAGCCTTCCAGAGCCCATCACACCCTCTCTCGAGCCTCCTTCTGAGTTCCAGGTCACCGCGCTGAGGAGAGAGCGCATGTTGAAAATGACTGATCCTTTCGATAGGCGACCAGGGAAGAGGATCACGGGCTGAGCCTTCACTGCTTGAAGCCGCTCGCCCCTTCGGTGGGACGCACAAGGGCACACTAGTACTCTGCGTCCTCCTGCGAGGCGTGCGTCCGACCCGAACATATACTACAAACATCTTGTAGCAGATCGTCTCCCGAGCGGCACGGCCAGAAAGCGCCCGCCCCGGAGCACATACTAGAAGATTCCTCGGCTCGCGCATCGCCCCTGGGGGGGCGACACACACACACACACATAGTTCAGGGAGACGTAAGACCCGGGTACGGGGGACTCGGACCCCCCCGACGAGGTCGTCAAAAAAATGACGAGGCCGAGCCTGCATTTTGACGAGGCCTCGCGCTGCAGACATCCCACAAAACTCCTCCTCGTCAAAATCCGAGTCGCGGTCGTCCAAAAACGATGGCGAACCCGAGCCCCGGCAAACCCGGGTCTTACGCTCCCCCGAATAGTATTAGTATGTTTGGGTGACGCCGATTGGGCCCCATTCCTTGGGGCCCCACCTCTGCGCTGACGACCTCAGGCCCCCGACGTGACTACCTACCAGACCACCCCAACCCAACCCGAAGACCCGAATTTGACCCGAATTTCGGGTGGGGGGGGGGGGTACGGGTTCCATGTGTTCTTTTCAGCGTTCCCCGACCCCCCCCCCACTGGAAATCGAGGGTAAATCTGAGCCTTCGGGTTGGGTTGGGGTGGTTTGGTGGGTGGTGATTTGCGCTGACGACCTCAGGCCCCCGTCGGGTCGGGCGAAAGGGGGGGATAGCAAAGGGGGGGATTGAGAATCAGCTCACGTAGCTGATTTTCCCGGCGCCTCCCGGCGCTGGAGGCGGCTATGTATCGAGGAATGGGCCCCTCGGTGAGGCCGAAACCAGCTGCATGCAGCAAATTTCGTAACCCCCCCTTTCCCAATCCCCCCCTTTCGCCCGACCCGACCCCGACGACTCGCTCCCTCGCGCGGCGAGCGGCGGCGCGGCTGCCGCCGCGCCCTCGCGCCACCCCGCGTGGAGACCGAGCTCTCCCGGGCCCACGGCGCGAGCGCGCGACTCGGCGGCGAACGACAGGGGGGGAAGCGAAGAGGGAGAAGGCCCCGTCGGGAGGCGGCGGGACTCCTCGGAGGCTCTCGCGCCTCCTCCTCCTCCTCCTCCTCCTCCTCCTCCTCCTCCCCCCCCTCCTCCTCCTCCTCCTCCTCCTCCTCCTCCTCCTCCTCCTCCTCCTCCTCCTCCTCCTCTCCTCCTCCTCCTCCTCCTCCTCCTCCTCCTCCTCCTCCTCCTCCTCCCTCCTCCTCCTCCTCCTCCTCCTCCTCCTCCTCCTCCTCCTCCTCCTCCCCCTCCTCCGCCTCCTCCTCCTCCTCGCGCCCTCGGGGAAGGCTGGGACAGCTTCGCAGAAGGCCAGGGAGTGCTGCGAGCTTCCTGAGAGGGCCCGCCACTTCTCATTTCCCCCCCGAAGCTCGCCGCCGAGCGACGCGCGATTCGCCCGGCGCTCGGCCGCGGGCGATCCCGGCTCGCAGACCGACAGCCCCGCCGGGCACGGATGCAGGTCGGTGTCAGGACGCCGGCAGCAGGCCCGAGTGAGAACTGCGGCGCTTCCCTGGCGTGGCCAATGTGCGATTGGCGGAGTGTGATACCATCCCGAAGGATTGCAAAAAAAGGATTGCAAAAAAACCCGAGGTTTTGCAAAAAAACCGAGTTTTTTTTGCAATCCTTCGCCCGAGGTTTTTTTGCAATCCTTCGGTTTTTTTGCAAGACCTCCTTCGATTGGCGGAGTGTGATACCTGAGCATTTTCTGAGGGTGGAGGGCTCAGGGTGAAATCCATATGGGCTTCTTGCGCCTCGAAAACAAATCCGTCTCGGGTTCTCCTTCGGCATATTCGGGCCTCGAAAATCCATCGAGACAGCATTTCAGATTTCACCCTTTGCCCTCCACCCAGAGAAAATGCGCGGGATACCATCCCTTGACCTCCGCCGATCGAATGCAGTGGGCCAAAGACTTCTTCGCCTTACGTGTCCCCATGGCCGGACTTCTGGCACGGATTGGTTTCTGCTGGTCCAGGTGCCCGACGACGGTCCTTGGAATCACCATGTTGCGGAAAGACGCATGCGGTTGTATTGGTCGCGATGCTAGAGGTCTTGGCCTACTCTCGAGTATCAACCCTTTCATCTCTACGATTCAAAAATAGGCCATGCCCGCCCTTGTGCGCCGAAGGTGCACATCTGGGGTTCTGGCCCGATCTGACATCCGACCCAGCGAATAGAAACGATCACACGCAGTGGGACAGCGTGGGAGGGAGGGATAAAATATGTCAGCTGGAGCGCGAGGGCACCTAGCTTGCCTCCCTCTTCTCCCTCTCAATATCTCTCTCCCTCTCTCTTTCTCTATCCCGCTCCCACTTGTTCCCCTCTCTGTTCTCAAGCCTCTCTACACTGTATGATCTGGTGTATACACTATCTGTCCTTTACTATCGACATCTCTTCTCTGCACTCGACTCTACGCTGTTCCAGTCAACCCTACGCCCGAGTTAAAACCATCCGTCCCTCCCTCCTTTTATCTACTCTACGCCCTCACCTACATAGGTTTCCTAGTCTCCCTACTTTTTGGTGTCGACTCTGTGCTCCCTGGATTATCGTTGCGCTCTGCTCTGTATTGTGTGCTGCCCACTCTCTGCGCTATGATATCCGCTCTATTGTTTCTCTCGATGGCCAAGACCCACAGAATTCGGAACCTGGGAACTGGGACCCTGGAAGCGCAGCCGCCTGCGCAAATCGGCAGATCCGTGAGAACCTGCAAGAACCTCGAACCCCGGAGCACGGACCCCCCCGGCCGCCCAACGAAACCGACAGCACGATTCCGCTGAATCCGTGCAGCATCCGCGAAGATCCCAAGCACGGGTAACTACTGGCCATCGCTCGGACGTGCATTTCCTGTGTTCGTGCGTGGTTTTTTCGCCAAGTGGTCGAGGATGCTCCTCGAAGGTCCTCGCCGAGGAAAAAACGCACACGTCCGAGCGATGCCAAGGGCAGGGCACCGCGACACCTCTCGGCACCACCTCTCCGCCATCTGTTCCCCGCGCCGCACCGATCGGCGAGGGCCCCCGAGGGGCCCGAGACGGGGTGCACACCACGCCCCTCCTGCAGGCTGCTCTGCGACGCGGGCTCGCAGGCCAGAAGGCTCGGGCCGCGGGCGGCCGTGCGGGCCGATCGCGGGCTCCCCCGGGACTGCCTACCAGACCACCCCAACCCAACCCGAAGACTCGAACTTCGGGTTGGGGGGGTAAGGGCTCCACACGTGTTTTTTTTCGATGTGTCCCGCCCCCCCCCCCGAGAGCCGCCAGGCGTCGCCGCCTCCACCTCCTCCTCCTCCTCCACCTCCTCCTCCTCGTCCTCCTCCTCCTCCTCCTCCTCGTCCTTCTCCTGGACATCGAGGGCAAATCTGAGCCTTCGGGTTGGGTTGGGGTGGCTTGGTGGGTGGTGAGGCCCCGGAGGCGCCCCGAGGCCCGACACCCTCCGACGGGGAACAGGCCCGAAGCCCTCCGACGGAGAGGCCCGAAGGCCCAACACTCCCTTTCTGGCTGTGGTCCTTTCGGATCGGGCGAAAGCTGAGCATTTTCGCAGGGTGGAGGGCTCAGGGTGAAATCCATCTGAGCTTTCGCACCTCGAAAATCAGTCCGTCTTGTGATTCACCTCTTGCAAATTCAAACATCGAAGATCAACCGACACGGCATTTTCGGAGTTCACCCTTTGCCCTCCACCCAAAAAGAATGCCCGAGAAAGGGGGGGATAGCAAAGGGGGGGTTTGAGAATCAGCTCTCGTAGCTGATTCTCCCGGCGTCGCCCGGCGCCGAAGGCGCCCGTGTATCGAGGAATGGGCCCGGCGGCGGGGCCGAAACCAGCTGCATGCAGCAGATTTCGTAACCCCCCTTTCCCAACCCCCCCCTTTCGCCCGACCCGATCCTTCACCACTTCTTCTGCCTCCGGCCGGGTGTGGCTTAAGGCGACGTCTGGCCGGCAATTTTTACACCTGCAACTACTTTCTCGGCCACCGGCCGAGGGCGTCCACGGCATAGGCACCGTGTCGCCATCAACCACAACAAAAACCTCCAGAGAAAGCGCTGGCCTCAAGCAGGCGGGAGACCTCCTCGACACCCTCGAAGCCAGGGATGCTCCCAACGTCGGCCAGCTGCCACCAGCTCGCCCTCGTGGGCGCTCGCGAGGACGAAGAGCAGCTGCGGGATCCCACGGACGCTTCCTCGATCGAGAGGGGAAGAGGAAGACGAAGAAACCCTGCAATGCAAATTTTGGGGGCACACATCTGTGTCTCCGGTCGGGAACTTGTGCTTAGCGTGTCGCCGCGGCGGCCGCAGCGATACGCTATGCCTTGCGAGCGGACACCGCGTCGCTCCGCTCCGTGGGGCGGGAAGCGGGGAAAACTCGAGACGTTGCCACATGGCGATTGGGACATGGATGTTGTGTCGCGCGGAAGCGCGGTGGGCAAGTCTCGACGGTGCGACGTGTAATCCAAAAGCTCCGGGGCCTAACGGTCCCGAGGGCCTCCGAGGCTTACGTTGGTCGCTGGCGCTTTTCTGGGTGGAAGGGCATCCTTTGGGGGGCCACCTGCTGGCAGGCTGAATTAGAACCCAATGTGCCCACCATGCGCTTGACTGCAAAAGATCGCCACCAACTGGCTTCAGGATTCCAGGCCGAGTCTCCAGGCCTGTCGCTTCCAGGGCCCACTAAGGCGAGTAGGCACTCCTGCGAGCAGTGAGACGCGCTCGGCGATGCATGGGAGCAGGTCCCGCCGCAACTCCGGGCGCCCCCTGCCAGCCGGCGCCTGCTCGGCCCCCAGAGGCCGGGCCCCGCGTCGGCTGCGCGCAGCAGTGCCCCTAGGCTTGAGTCGGGCAAGCAACCATAGTTTCCCCCAAAGGTCAGCCCCTCCCCACAGCAGGGGTGGAGGACGACGGAGGAGATGGGAGGCCCACACAATGGCGCCACACCTGGGAGGTGGAGGAGGTGGGAGAGTACTCGTAGAGAGATGGTGACATGAACCACCAATGTTGAAGCCTTCCGAAGGGGAAAGCCCTCGTCGCCGCGGCGGGGGTCGCGTCGGCATCCCAATCAGAACACGCCCAAGGATAGGCCCAGGGGATCGCTTCCAGAGGTGAAGCGGGGGGAGGAGACGGATGAGAAGACGGAGGAGGCAGACGAGGAGGAGGAACGCACCGCGCCTCGGCGCGCAGGCTCCTCCTGGCAGAGCTGGGCCCACGCCCGCCGCGGGCCCGCGGCGAGGCGAGCGCAGCCAGCGGTCAGAGGCCCTGGCGTGCTCGACCGCCTGCTCGATGTTCCATCTCGCCTGGGCCTTGAGCGCGTGATTGTAGGGCTCCCAACTTCGCGCTTCGCGCTCCGCGAAGCGCGAAGCGCGAATAACTTCGCGCTCTGGCGCCGCCCCCCCAAAGGGAGAATAGGAGGACGAGGAGGAGGGGGAGAAGGAACGAGGACCGCGAAGCGCGAAGCGCGAATAACTTCGCGCCCTCGGGGGAGCCCTTGTTGATCACGTAGGCCGTGACCAGGCACGCAGGACATGTGCATCATGATCTTGAGGAGGCGCACGCAGGCGGAGACGATCAAGCCGATGAGCCGGCATCCCGCGCGCCGGAAGGCGAGGCCCGAGACGCATGGCGCGCCACGGCCTGGGGCATTCGATGCAGTGTGCGAGGCAGTCCTTGGCGCTGTCGCACCCCCAGACGGCATGGAAGACGGCCGCGACCACACATCATCCGCCACGACGTGATCCGAGCACTTCCCCCGGATTTCAAAATTGGCCAGGGCCGCGAAATCAGGAGGAGGACTCAAAGGACGCACAGCGTTCGCCAAAGGTCTGGGTCGAGCGGCGGCGACGGCAGGCATGGAGCAGAGAACAAGACGTAGAGGTTTTCGGCGCGGGCCTCGATAACGAGGCGCCGCAGCTTGCTGGTGTCCAGCAGCTCTCTTTGCCGCCGCTTGAGAGGGTGGCGAAGGACGACCCTCGCGGCGGGGATAAGCTCGGGGGCTTCGGAGCAAGTGAGGGTAGAACACCGACGACCCTGGCGGGCGGAGGCGAGACGGAAGATATGATTATAGGCCATAACGTAAGCGAGTTCGCCCCGAAGGCCGAGCCTGACCAGGATGGAAGCAGGACGGTAGGAACGGAAAAGGGTAGCGGCGTGATGGTGGATCAGACATGATGGTTGACCGCTGGATGGGAAACGCCCTCACAATCGCGCGGACACACCCGGGAACGCTGCATTCTTGCGCTCGTGATCCAAGCGCCTAGATACACACGAAAGACAATGGCGATCCACGAGGGGGGGGCCTGGGCCAGGCAGGGCACTTCGGATGGCAACCCAGTCCATCATGCCCTCCTCCAAGAAGGGGGGGGAACCATGTCTTCAACCTGCGTTCGAGCAGGGGGGCGAGAAGCAATCCGGACGCGGCGGACTGCAGCCCAGACGCGAAAACGCGCTGCCACTTCGGCCGAGGACCCTCTTCCCCCAACCGGAATCTGCAATGGCCCTCCCCCGCCCGCGCGCAGCCTGGGGCCCTCAGGAAATCCGAAGGCCGCGGCTTCGATGGACCCGGCAAGGGCCTCCGACCCCCAGAAGGCAGGGGCCATAACCCGAGAGCCCCATGGCGCCATGGGCGCTCTGGAGCGGAGGCCACTGCGAAGCATGTTCATCGTCTGGGGCCACTGCGGAAGGGCGGCGAGGGCAGTGCGCACGGCGGCAGCGAGGGCAGTGATGACGCACGACGATCTCACACGTGGTCTTTGCAGCTGCTCCAGAAAAAAACATGTGAGTATCGAGCGACAGACGTCGCCACTTTGACGCAGGCGCGAAGAATTGTCTTTCAGTTTTGGCACGGGACCATTCGGCGGGGGCGCGCCGGGACGCATAGGCAGGGATAGAGAGGTCACGCTGCTGACACAACCAGAGCCCAGTCGCGAAGTCCTGGCGCACGTCGGCGATCGCTCGATTGCGAACCGCCACCTTTGCGAAAGGAGCCCGCCGATTCCGATCAGGGCCCACCCCAAGACCCAGCCAGAAACCCAAGTGCAGGACCTCAGGCGCGATTTGGAACTCCTCCGATTTAGCTGGACTCGGCGGGATGACCTCGCCCGAAGAGGGAGGGTCCCTGAGTTGGGCTTTCAGATCGCCATCGACAACCGAAACAAGCGGGGTGACGCAGCACTGCGAAGCTTTGAGAGCGAGGCCGCCGAGGGCTTCGGCGATGCGAAACACTCTCGCGGTAGCTTTTGTGATGGGGCACACTTGCACCGATGTCGCCCGCGCAGGCTCTGACGTGGCCATGCCCTGGGACCTGGGCGTTCCTGCGCATATCCCGCAGGGTGCTGACTGCCGCGCTCGCGAACGAGCTACCCCTCAATGGGGCGCCCCTGAAGAACGCTCGAGAGCACGAAGAAGAGCTTGAGGCGTAGGCCGCGAGCGGAGAGGTGACCATGGTTGAGGCGGTAGAACCCTTCGATGAGGAGCCGGCAGCCGCGCGAAGCCATTTCTCTCACGGCCATCCTGCGCCAGCGCTGACGCGCTGAAGGAAATGCCTGAGAGAAGTCAAGAGCGACAAGGGTAGCGGAACTGGATTGACATGGCACTGGCCACGCGGGCGCGCGCATCCAACCCGCGCGCGTTCGACAAAACGTCGCGGCATCGAATGCGGGTCAGGGCGCCGATCTTCTTCGCCGCAGTTGACAGACCGATGTCGGCCAGCCCTGCGACTACCTCATTACCGGCACTCCAGCCCAATTCAGCGGGCGCCCCGACCATGTCGGACAGCGCCGCCCGAGGCATCCCCTCGCCGCCCAAGACACCCTTGGGTGCGAGGACTTGAAGACAGGATGGAGCAAGTCGCGCGGAGGCCTGAGGCGATCCAATAAAATACCTCCAGGAGCACCTGCGGACCCTGCCCGAAGCTCCATGAAGGATGGGCGAGGCCGTCTGGGCCAGGTTCCGAGCGCGGGGCCCGCCTCGAAAACTGACAAATCGCGGCAAAGGTCGAGGGGAGGAGATCCCTGAAGTCGGCGCCCGTCGCCCCCGCGCGGAAGTCTCGGCGCCCCCCGCCCCCCCCGCGCCCGTTCCCCCGCCAGATGACGCCGGCGATTGAGCGGGGGCCAAATCTTCGCGCGCCCCCCGGGCCGCGCGACGCCGGACGGATGGGCGAGAATAACGGGCGGGCGTCGCCCGAGAATTCCCGACCCGCCGCGGCCAGGGGCCGCGGGCGCTCGGCGCGGCGCCCCCGCAACTGAAGGCCAGCGCGGGCGCGGGCGAGAGCGCCGGGCGGCGCGAGGGAAGGCGAAGGGGACGAGGGGCCAAGAGCGGAGAAGGATCAAAGCCACGCGTGGCGAGGCCAAAGGGCACCCCCCGAGGCCACAGTCTCGGCGCCAGGCGGCGCGGGCGAGCGAGCGCGGCAGCGCCGAGCGGCGCTCGCGCATGCGCGGCCGATCAAGGCTGAAGATCCCGACGTGCCGGCGCAGACGCGCGCCTGCGCCGGGCGGCCGTCTCGAGCTCGTCGGGCGCGGAGAGCGAGCCGCGCGCGCCGATCCCCGCCAACTCCTCGCATCCGCCCAGAGTGGGGGCGCGCGGGTCGTCGCGGTGGATGGAGCGGGGGATCTTGAACCGCCGCGAGGGGGAGGGGTCGTGCCGCTCGCGCTACTGCCACGAGACCGACAAGGGCGCGCGGTCGGATGGCCCAGCATCGCGAACTCACCAGGCTCGCCACGACGCCGCGCGCGCTGCCAGAGCTGGCAGAGAAGCCTCGGAGGGAACGCGGCGCCGCATCAATCACTGCGAGAGCCCGTCCGCGAAGACAAAGGGCACCGACTGAAACCGGGCGCCACGGGTCCGGTCATCTGCCGACGGAGCCTGCGCCAAGCAGCATGTCCCGCTCGCGCCTGGCGCCCGCCCGATGCGCGAGCATCTGCCTCGCCGGGGCGCCGAGCAGCGCCAGCGCGAACGCGAGGGCCACGCGCGAGCACCAGGTGGTCGGTTGAGCAGTCAACCTCCTCATCCGCGATATTGAAACCACCGACGATGGTGAGTCCATGCTCCATGGGGGCCCTTCGGACCAGAGAAGCTCGGGCCTCGAGTGCATTCCCAATCTCGCGGGATTCTACTGCGGAGACATCGCGAATGTAAGCGTGCCAGCGGAACCAGCCGAATCCCGTCACGCGGCGCCGAAGCTCGAGATAAGGAGCCCTGCTTGCAACAACTTCATGGGGCACGAAATGGATGAGCGGCGAGACCTGCTCCGGAACGTTGGCGCAGACGCCGCCGCGAGCGCGGGGGGGGGGGGGGGGATTGCGACCACCCCCGGACCCTCGCGAGCAGCTCAGCCACTGCATTGCCGGGGCCGTGAACTTCTTGAAGGGCGACGATGAAAGAAGGGCCAGGAAGCGACTGAAAGACCTCATCCTTGGAGGAGAGGGAGCAGACGGATTGCGGCGAAGGAAGGCACGACGGCTCCAGCTGCTGAAAACGCGCTGGCCGGTGTTGAAAGAAGTGTTACCCGCTCAACTCGATGGGTCCGAGCTGGAAATGGGAGGCGGCGGTCTGTTCGAGTTCAGTACGACGTAGACGATGATCATTGGTAGCACGAAGATCCCGCCGTTCTCGGATTGGTTGGGCAGCATCGGCCACCACTCGCGAGATCACATTCCAGTCGACAGAGATGGAGATGGTGCCCGCCTCTTTACCCACGAAGGGGAATTCCTGCACCTGTTCACGCAGCTTTTCTGGTGCTGCGCTCACGAGCAATCTCACGACTGTTGCGACCCACGCTAAGGGGGATCGGGACACGGCGCCCGCCCACCAGGCATCGGAACACTGAACGACCGCCACACCCTGCGCGCCCCGTGGAAGACCATGGGCCTGACGAGCCCTCGCGGCGCAGGAGGCAGGGATGCCCAGGAAACGCACGATGAACTTCTTGCCGAGCTCCTTACTCTCCGCCTTGTAATCTGGGCCAATCTGGGAGCTGGCAGCGATCATCCAATCTGGGATAGCCTCGGCCACCAAGTTGCGGCCAACGTCCTCGCGGCAGGTGGTGACGACTATGCCAGGGTCGGTGGCCCGCTGCCCGTCGGCGGGCCTCGAGACGGGCTGCCGAGGCGCTGCCCTCGCCAATTCCAACTCCTTCTCAAACTTCTCAAACCTGTGCAACCAAGACCGATGTGTCTACTCATGGTGACCAATGCGACTCTCGATCTCCGGCATCTTACGTTCGTGCTCGCGAAGCCGCCTCTGCATCATGGATTGGTCCAGGACGGTCGCCATGGACTCGACGACGCTCGTGAGGGTCTTGGGGAGTTGGACTGGGACCAGCTGCGAGATCGATTCAGCGGAGGTCCTCGACATCCCGGCAATAACGGCACTCTGGAACTCCTCCAGCAAATCAGAGATCTGTGGACCAGGACCTCCACTGCCGCTTGCGCCGTGAAGATAGTGAGCCCATGGGTCCTGAGACAAGGACCACGAATCATAAACACCCCGAGGATGAAGAGGACCATTCTCCACCGACGCCGTGTGGAGAGGTCCACGAACGTGGAGTGGGGTGATCCTCGAGGCCCACCCCTCCCCCGCCAGGGGGCTGCTGCACGACCTCATGGGACGGGAAGGTGGCCATCTGCGAGATGCCCTCGAACAGGTTCGGCTTGGGGGGCGGCTCCGTTGGGGCGGGGCTGGCGAAGCCCAGCGCCGGGATACCTCGATCGACTTTCACTCCGTGGCCGCTGTGTTGGTGTGCCCACATCCTCTCCACCACAGGGTCTGCCCGAACGCTTGCTCAGCCGCGGGGTGGCAGGTGGCGTGGGCTCGACCGAAATCTCCGACATGTGGCCGTGGTCCTCGTCAGCACCGCGGCAAGCACTGCGGGTGGCGGTCGGTTTGATATCCTTCTTCCCCTTCTTGTCTTTCTTGTCCTTCTTGCCCGGCATCTGCACTGGCTGGGGCAGTTGACCCTCCCACGTCAGTGTGAACGAGACTGGCCGCAGAGTCCTGCCACGCGCTGGTGAGGCAGGACCAGACCCGGGTGGACAAGCCGAAAAGGATCGTGGACTGGCCGTGGGCTAACGGTATCCGTTAGGTCCCGCGGAAAACCTGGCATCTTGAGCCAAAACTGCTTGAGCCAAAATGGATACGGAGGAGGCGGAGGAGGAGGAGGAGGAGCAGAAGAAAAAGAAGGAAGAGAAGGAGGAGGAGGACGAGGAGGAGGAGGAGGAGACTCAGATGGGAGGCGGCAAGGTCAGCCAGGGCTGGGAAAGTCCGTCATCGTGCCGCGAGGCACTGAAGTGTCTCGAGGCTTCCGAAATCGCCCCAAGACGGCTGCCCCCAAAAGGAAACGAATAGTCCCCCCAGACGGCCCAATGACGGGCCCAAGGGTGGAACTGGGCAAAAATATCGAGCGGGCCACCAGCAGGCCTCTAAAGAGGCACGTCAAGGGACCCAAGAGGCCTCAAAGAAGCCTCTTGTGACCAAACGCCGCTGGATAACTGCGGCGCTCTGACAGCAGGTGGGCGCGGCGCTCTCGCCGCTGTCTCGGGGCTCTTCATGAGTTCGGAAGGTGGCCGACTGGAGTGTGAGAAGGAGGAAGAGGAGGAGACGGAGAAGAGAGATGAGAAGGAGCAGCAAAACCAGGGACGACGAGGAGCCACAGAAAACAGGAAAGCAGGTCAATCATCCTCCTCATCTCTCGAAGCCGCTGACGCGTCACGCAGACGCCCCCGCGCCCGCCACGCGCCCCGGGGCGCGACGGCCACACGGAGACGGTCGGGCTCCGGAGGGGGGGAAGGGAGAGAAAGGCCGCCCACACTCCTGCAACTCCTCCTGAGGCCTCGGAGGAGAGTGGTAGGTTGGTGGAGCGGCGGGGCTCCTCCTCCTCCTCCTCCTCCTCCTCCTCCTCCTCCTCCTCCTCCTCCTCCTCCTCCCCCTCTTCTGCTTGCTACTCCTCCCTCCCTCACGCTTCCCTTTTCGCCATCTTTCCCGCGCTACCTATTCCCGTCCCCCGCTCCTCCATGCCACCCCCTCTCCCAGCCGTCCTCCCCCCCTTCCATTCTCCCGTCCTCCATCCCTCTCCTCTCCTCTTCTCTTCCACGCCGTCCTCCACTTCGCGGTCGGTCTCCTCGTCCTCCTCCTCCCCCACTCACTCGACCGTATCCACATCCTCCCCACACCCCTCTTTCTTCTTCCTCCTCCTCCTCCTCCTCCTCCTCCTCTTCCTCCTCCTCCTCCTCCTCCTCCTCCTCCTCCTCCTCCTCCCCGCCCCTCCTCCATCTCCCCCCGCCCTTCCTCCTCCTCCTCCTCCTCCTCCTTCTCCTCCTCCACTCCTTCTCCTCCCCCCTTCCCTCCTCGACCTCCTCCAGCTCATCCTATCCCCTTTCCCCTCCTCAAGCTTCCGCCCTATCATCCTCCATTGACGGCGGCGGCGGCAACGACGGCAACGACGACGAGACGACGACGACGACAGTGGCGGCAACGACGGCGAAGGCACGGGCGACAACGCCAGAGGCAGGGGCAACGGCGACAACGATGGCGATGGCGGCAACGACCGCCGACGGACACGAGGACAACAATGATGCCCGCTACAGCGACGTTGGCAGCAACGACGGCGGTTACGCCAACGGCAACTGCAATAGGCAACGACCACGACCAGCCACGGCGCCGGAGTGGGCCCCCCGATGGGCCTCGACGTCGGCGCCAGCGTTTGTGCTCACGCTGACCACGCTGCCCTCCAGATCCGAGCCGTCCTTTCGAGGGTTGACAAAAAGGTGCCCCTGGCCCAAGGTGCCCCTGGGGGCCTCTGGGCCTCGTGGTGGGCGCTCTGGAGGTCGGCGGGTCGCACAGCGAGGCTGGGGGAGGGGGGGAGGCTTCTCAGAAGCAGCAGTGGCTCTGAGGACCCTCCCCTCCTCCCCCAGACCCCCTCTGCGCATGTCGGGGATGGACAGACCCCCCTTTAGTAAAACGTGGTTTAGTGAAAACGACCTGAGGCCCAAACCTGGCGGGCGCAAGCCTGGAAAATAACGGCCACGGCGCCCTCTCGACAACCGAAAACGGACGATTCACTAATCGACGTGTCACTCTTGGGGGTTCTGTCCAACCCCGAGCATGGCCGAGCGTGGGGGCCTCCCTGGAAATCCTTGGGGCACCCTATAGGCCAAGGGGCACTTCTGGCAGGGCCCGGTCCTTGGAGCGCCCACGCCGGGCCTCGGGCGCGGCGGCCTCGCCGGGCTGGGCGGGCGGTGGGGGGGGGCCGCCGGCGAGCGGAGGGCCCGCCGACAACGGGCGGCGCCCGCGCGGAGGGTCCGGCCGGGTACGACGACGATGACGACGTCGATGACGTCGACGGCGGGGGCGACGCCTACGACGGGGGCGACGGGGACGGCCCCCGCGGCCCGTGGCATCAAGTGCAGAGCCTCCTGCTGACCGCGTCAGCTCTCAGCCTCGCCTCGCCGCGGCGCCCTCAGCGTCTGCGGCGCGCCTGTTTCGCTCGCCAGCGCCGCCCGACGACGATGACGACGACGACGACGACGACGACGACGACGACGACGACGGCGGCGACGGCGACGGCGACGGCGACGGCGACGGCGACGACGACTGTTTCTGCAGCTCTGGGCAGCGGGGCGCATGGACCAGGACAGGTTTTCCTGCGCGGCCAGCGTGCGGCGGTGACGTGCATGCTTCTGTGTGCTGCTCCAGCAAGGGTCGCAGTTGTGTCGCAGCCCCACGTCATGGGCTCGGGCGATGACGACGGAGGCGGCGACGACGGCGGCGACGAGGGCAACGGTCCGGTGAACTCTTCGAACATGTCGGGCGTTCTCAACAATCTTTGTGCCTCCAGGGGCCTCCGGCGGAGACATCTGGGGACCTCCGAAACCTCTGGGCACATCTAGGGACCTCCAAGGACCTCTGACAATCATGTGTTTGTCCGTTGATTGGTTTATCTCTTTTTCTTTTTTTTTCTTACTCTACATATGTGTGTACAGGGAGATATTCTCCTCCTCCCTACAATTCCTCCACGTCACAGCGCCAGGCGTGTCCGCAATATCCCAAAGCAGTCAGCTGTCAACAATTCCCGTGCCGTGTGTTATTATCCGGAAGCGACTGGCATACAGTACGTACTTGGCAGGGCTGTAAGCTGGCAGTCCTGAAGCGTGTGCCGTAGTGGCCATCCATATCGGATGCGTGCCCAAAGGTGACGGCCACAACTTCATCAATTTCTGGCGGTTTCTTCAAGACTCTGGATACTAGCGACTGCCTCGAATGTGGCGTAGTAGGCGTACCATCATTCGGAATCCCCGAAACCACCCTTCGGGTGGTAAAGAGGTTGGGTGGGGGGTGAGTGCAATTTTCGGTTTGCGAGTGGCGTCGGATCGGGTTCGTCATCCATGTGTCTGACGATCTCGATACTTCTGCATCGATGTCCGTACCTATCGGCCCCGCTACTAAGCTGCACGTCGATCTCTGAGTCTGCCGCTCTCACTATCAATCAATCGGCCGATCGCGCTACCTGTCGGTCTACGCGTTGGCCTCCATATTTCACTACACTATCAGTCAATATACATGCCTGGCACTGCATCGGTAAATCACACCACCAATATATCATCCATTCGTCTCAAGGTCTCCTGTCTCGCTACATATGAACCGCTCTCAAACGGGAGCTATATACTAGATCGCGGTCTATTCATCGGGCACGCATTGGGACAAACTTCGATCGGGACAACCAGCGGGGCAACCATGGCAACCGCCTCCATCGGGACAGCCGACGGGGCAACCATCGGAACCACCAATGGTGACACGGCCGTCGGCGAGACGGCCATCGGGACAACCATCGGGACAACCATCGGGACACCCATTGGCACAACTACCGGCACAACCATCGGGAAAACCATCGGGACAACCTCCTGGACAACCATCGGGACAACCGGCGGGTCAGACAGCAGGACAGGAAACGTGACACTTGCTGGTGTTGACGGGGCGACTTACTTGTCTGACTTGGCCCTTGCGAGTGGAGGATGTCGCGCAGCTTCGCCTCGCCTCGCCCGCGCGAGTGCCACGCGCGAAACATAACGATGTCCTAGTTGGTGCATCTCCTCTTCACGTTGGTCTGCCCCCAAACCTCTGGCGTGGTCGAGAGACCAACGCTCTACATCTGATAGTGATGCCATGCTTGAACTAGAATGATTGCGCCGCGCCGTAGGCACTGAGTGGGGTGTCCTCGGGCCTCGTCGAGTGTTCTGTCGTGCATATGGCGTATATCAGTTGGAGGGCCCAGGGCTCCCACGGTCAGACGCCTCGGGAGGGATGGCGGGATTCCATAGTGGCAACATGGCCCAAGATGGCCGAGCATATATCTTCTCCCCCCTCCCGACAACGCCTCTTGCGAGAGGGAGAAAGAGAGAGAGAGAGAGAGAAAGAGAGAGATATATATAAAGAGAGAGAGAGAGAGAGAGAGAGCGAAGAAAGATAGCGATGAAAACTTGCGCAAACATAGCATAATACATCGATGCGGTTGTATATTAAGGAAAACACAGTCCCACGTGCTTGCGCGAGCCAAGCCAAAGTTGACTGGGGCCAAAAGCGCGCGTAGGAAACCGAGCAACATATCGTGATCACACCGGTAGGCAGACCACAGCGAAGATTGAGAGCGAATGATGCGTTTTGGAATGGAGTTTTTTTTTTCGATGAAGACACAGCAGCTGAGGGCCCCTTAAACGCGACCCGGGGGCCAGGAGCCACCCAGACTTTCGGCGACAGCCGAACGCCTTATGCACTCTATGGTACCAGTCCTCTACTCAAAAGCGTTCATGACCGAGCCTGCTGATGTCGTATTGATGCGTTCTGGAATGGAGTGCTCAGTGCCAGTAAGGCCTCAGAGAGGACCCACCTGCGTTAGAAGGGGGGGGGGCGCGGCAACTTCGGAGAAGGCAAACCACATAAACCAGTGGATCCCACATGCTGTCACAGATTGTCGGTTTGACTCCATCCACAAAAATACGATGCAACGATCCTCAGGCACCCAAAGAGTTAGCTTCCTGAATCCATGCCATGACGCACTGAATCGAGCAACCTTCCGTGCCGCGACAGTAACGCGCCATGCCAGCAAGCCACCAATCAAATTGCTCACGGCGTCCAGCTTTCAATTGAGATTATAGACCCATGGTCCAACACGCCTTCAGGATCTGCCCAGGACGTCTTCCAAGCCCCCGGGAAGGGCCCCGGGGGGTCCCGAGACAACACCCAAGAGGGGCATATGGCACTCCGAGCCCTCCACCCCGAGGTGGCACACGCGCCTGCGAATTTACGTCCGACCGTGGCGACGAGAACCTTTAGGAGCGCGCAAACCTCCGAGGCGACGACAACGACGAAACGACGACGACGAGCTTCCCTCAGGACTCGAACCGACAACGACGACGCGACAACAAACGATGAAACGACGAGACGACGAAAAGACGACGACGAAACGACGACGAAACGACGACAACGGTAACCTTGCTATGGCGACCCGACGACGGCGACGACGCTGGCGTCGAAGGCGGCGGCCCAGCCCGCTTACGGGCGGGCCTCCCGAGCCGGCGCGGAAGGCGAGGCCGACGCACCCACGCCCGCGGCGACGAGGCCGCGGGAGGCACCTGCGCGGGCGGCGGCGGCGGCGCCCGCCTGGGGGGACAGGCCATGGCATGACTAGAAAAACGCGGAGGTCCGCGCGGACTCCTTTCGATTAGAGAGCCCACAGAAAACGTACGCGCCAAAATCACATACATGAACACGGCCCCCCAATCCGCAAGACCGGCCGTGTGATACGAACACTTGCACAATGCGCGCTCTCTCGAAACCAACGTGGATTCATGTTAGTGTGCATCCTCCTTTCGCTAATGATCAATAATCCTCAGAATGTGTGACGACGTAGGCGGCACAGCTAGGGCCGACACAAGCTGCGCGCTATCGGCGGAAGCGAACGGGGCAAACACACGCTTGGGCTAACACACGTCCTAAGGATCATCGATCTTCGGATCGGCACTGGGGCCCCCTGGCGGCGCCGCCAGCCCCCGGCGCACTCCGCGCGCCAAGGAGGAGGGTCCAGCGCCGATGCGAGAAATCCGCGCGGACCTCGAAGTCTTTATTCGTGCCATCGTATGTTCCCCGACCGCCGCGGGAAACGCAGTCGTGTAGCCGCCGCCGCCAGCAGCGCACAGCGCCTGGGAAGGGCCGCCGTAAGACGAAGCCAGGACGTGGATCATGGGGATAAGTCGAGAATCTCTGAGATCCGCCGGCTCTGGAGGATGTCTCGGACGCCGCTGCCTCCCCAGAGCGTCCTGGAACGCTCGGAGAGCGTTCTGGAACGCTCTCGACCAGATTGGCCCCGTCCGACACTGACGGGCGAGGACGGCGACGAAGCGACGCGGCGACGCACGCCGAGTGCGCGCGCGCGTGGCGACGAGGCAAGGCCAGGCGCCGAGCAGCGCCTGCCAGTGGGGGAGCTGCCATGCCCCCGCCGCGAAGTCGTGGCAGAGCTGGGCCAGAGCTGGCCGCGAAACCAGAGCGGTCCAGGCCAGCGGATCCCAGATATGCTCGCGTCGCGACAAGAAAACACGACGGGAGGTGTTTGACCGTGTTCGGCCTTCGAAGGGCCCCCGCCGGGCCCCAAGTCTGTCCAAAATCGGCTCGGGATGGAAAACCGGCGCTGGGGAAAAGGTCGGGATGTTCGGGGACACCGTATAACAGAAACTCAAAACACCAGATGCCTGAAAGCGACTCGCAAACGAATCGTCCCGAATCGAATCGCATGGCTCAAGCTGGACCTGGCCGATGCCAGTGGATTGAACCGAACCGGGTCGAATTGGAATCGCGGCCGCACGACGCGATCATAACCGCGTCGAATCGGATCGTAAACAGCCCTGACTGGCCGCAAGCGCCCCGGTTGAAGTCTCCGCCGCCGCCGCCATGGTCTGATCTCGGGGGTTCGGGGCCGTCGGCGCCGGGTCTCGCAGAGGAGGGCGGAAATCAATTTCCTGTCGTTCCTCCTCCTCCTCCTCCTCCTCCTCCTCCTCAGTTCCCACCTTCTCTTCCTAAGCTTGCCTCCTCCCCCCTCCTCTTCATTTTCCTTCGTCGTCTCCGACTCTGAACGCAGCAGAGCGCTCTTGAAGGGGCCCCGCGTGATTTTGCCATAGCATCGAAATCGTTGAACGGCTTCACGCACGAAGCCCAAGCATTGCGGTGTCGTGCGTTGGATATGTTAACTAGTTTGCTAGTTGTGGCGAGCGCAATGCGGAGCAAGCTTTGCGAAATGCAAACAATAAGGTGCAAACGATAAAGGTGCAAGCGCTGTGGGAAAGACACGTGCTGCAAGCTGTGTTGTTCGAGCATCGAGGCGCGCATAAATGCGCAAGCCATGTGACGCAGTGCAAACGCCGTGAGAGTCCGAAGAGGCGCCCACGGCCGCCCACCAGGAATGTAGTAACACATCCCACCAGCGCACGGGGCGCCCACACGGCGTCCACAGCCACCCGCCAGGCGAAACCTCGATGCGCCCAGCAAGCGGACGGGACGCACACGCAACGCTAACGGCCACCACTCGTGCGAAGCGACGCACCTGGCCAGCGCACGGGGCGCACGCGAGGCGCCCGCGGCCGCCCACCAAGCGAAGCCTCGCCACGCCTAGCCAGCGCACGGCCCGCCCACGAGGCGCACCCACCCAACGCACGGGGCGCCGAGCTGCCCACGAGACGCACACAAGGCGAAATCCCGCGACGCCGCCACGCCCATCCAATTCTTCAGGTGCGTAAGCGGAAGAAGAACCTTAATATGCAAGGACAAACTGCTTGATCCCTCAAACCTCGTTGAATGATGGGGCGCGACGCTTGCACTGGTATTCCGCCGCGTACCGCCGCGGCTGCATTCCAAGATCGCTGCGTGGCCAGCACCGTGTCCATCGGCTGATCGGTCTCCCAGCAACGCTCGTCGCACACGCCACAGTCGCGCATGGCTTCCCTGACAAAAGTCCCGCGCGGAATCTGCAGATCGCTGCTGGAATTCAAGCCTACCGCGCCGCCCAACATGATAGGCAGGGTACCGCGACGTTCATGTTATCCTCGCTCATGGGCTCGTGCAGACAACCCGTCATGTTCCACCAAACAGTTCGGGGCATGTCCCGAGCTGTCAAGACACACTGCCGCAAGGCGACCAGGCAATCACTGAGCCACGTTGCGCGCAGAGAGAAGCTCTGATACTATGTCTGGTCGTCCTTCGTCTGGCAGTGCGCCAACGGCACCGCCCGCTGCAAGCGCTTGCTCAACTGGCGCGCGTGATTCCGTCGGAACTCTGCCCTCTGCGAAGCCAGACACACAGGTGCTCCTGTAGCCACTCTTTGCATTATCCGTACCCCTCCGTCACGCCTCCTTACTCGCTCGACACGCACGTGGGCTGGTCCTCGCCGCATTGCTCCGTGCAGCCGCATCCGGTTCCCTGTCTCGCTGCCCTGGTCCCACCGTCGCGTAAGTACTGTGGCGCCGTAACCAGATGCGTCGGCTCCCGGTACGCGGGCCAGGCTTTCTCCTCCGTCTTCCTGCTCCACCATCTTCCCACGTCGACGCACTCCTGACGACGCGCGTTCCTCTTGTACCTCTGGGGCTCGCCCCCCAATCGCTCCGGCACGCCTTTCGGCAACTTCGCCAGTTTGGGCAACGGCGCGCGTTGATGCAGACACTGAACGACCACCTGCGCATGCGCGCACAAAGCTTCCTGCCGACGTCTGAACGCCGATGCTTTCGTACACCCCGTCCACGCGACCGAAACAACCGCCTGCCGCCGTCGCATTGCTCCTGAGCAGCTCTACGCACTCGCAGTCTGGGCACGTCGGATCATACCGCACGCCCAGGATTAACTCGAACACGAGACCCACAATGGCTCGGAACCCATCGACGCCCGCCAGCGGGTCCCGAGCCTGAATGCGAACCAAGTGCAATATATATATATATATATATAATATATATATATATATATATATATATATATATATGTTGGTACTGCCATGTCCACGCGGCCGACGGCCTCTATGGGTATTCTGCAAGATTCGCACCGCACCGCCTGCCCGCACCTATCCGACGGCACTGTATTGCCCCGTTCTTGTGTCGTGTGCCTGGACGACGGTTCCCACAGAACTCAATGCGTTTCTCCGTGGCGCTCCTGTGCCGCACTACGATTCACGGAATACCCTCTCAAGGATCGCGACAGCCGAGCCATGGCCAAATTGTGTCTCTCGTCCGGAAACATGGTTGGGAAACAACTGCACCCCGTGCGCGATGCGAGCAGCGCGGCGTCGTGCCGCATGAGCGCGCGCAATTCGCTCGTACCCTCAGTCTTGGGGACAACGGCACTCGCCCCTGCAGCCAGCAGTCTCGCTACCGTGTCCAGCGGCTGCACGTGCCTGATTTTAAACAAATATCGGCGTACGTTGGCGGACTTACCCGTTGACGGATCCTTGTGCGTGCCGTACAGAGCATCCTCTATACTCACTGCCGCTCTCACCAGTTCACCTTGCAACTACAGGCATGTCGTCTGTCCGTTTTTCCAGTAGTCGGCCAGGCGAACGCATCGCGCCATGTTCAAAACACTCTGGGACAGGGCCGACGACTCAGTAAACCCGAACCTCCACCCGCGCCGAGGCTGCGATTCCACACGGCGCGTCATGATGCGCGCCCATCTCGCAAGATCCACGCGAGGAGCCGCGGGCCCGCGAAACGCCGACTGCGGCCCCCCCCAGAAAAATCCAGACACTCGGCCAGGCAAAACTCGGCCGGCCGAGATCGGCCCAATAAATCCGGCCGAGGAAGGACTGGGCTGGAGAAACTCGGCTGGGGAACAATTGGGCCAAGGTGAACTCAGCCCACGATGAACCTGGTCCACCAACCTCGGCCAGCGCTCCGGTTGCAGCGGCAATTCGCCCTCACCTTGGCCAGATGAATTCGCATAGCGAACAAACTCCGAATACGCACTAGCGATGGCCAGACCCTCGGCCGACAGTTTGGCAAAGTAATCCACCCAAGCTGTTGCCCAGCATCCACATTGGGTCTAAGCCATGACGGCCAGAACCGCCGACCACCTCAAGGAACTGGAGGTGCGACGGGCACCGTTGAAACTGCGGAACCTGCGCCCCCTGCTTCATCCACAAGTTCACGGATAGCCCACCAGATCCCAACATGCACCGTTCCAGCACCGCCCCCATGACAAATCCATCGGCAGCCTGCTTTGACCAGCGCGCGCATGCCCGAGTTGATGGTGCCCACCTGGTTGGCGTGGCGGACTGCCTGCAAAATCGAATGCCTTTCCCCGTTCAAAACCGTATTTGTCAAATAAACGTGTATGATTCTGTGAGAATTCTAGAGGCAGGCTCTTTCAATTGAAAGTTATGTATATACACATAAAGAACAGAGACACACTGATGCTTTGCATTTGATTCACTGATGGTTGTGACATAGTTTTATGCTGAACAGACTAACACGCATTCGACTTTAGATGTTGGTTCTGCTGCGTTAAAAAATGTATACGAGAACGTGCACAGCTGGCCTCCATATATATATATATGTATATATATATATGTGTGTGTGTATGTGTACATACACGTGAATATTATATAACTGGATGTTCTCCGAACGTTCACGTGACTTTTCTGGAGCTTCATGAAACACGTATTCGGCGCAACCCTTTCCCTCCAGCCAACCTTACAAAGCTGGCCAGCGCTGGGGGGTTCTCCTGTCCGTTATCCTTTTGCTTGCGGCTCCTCTTTTGTACAGCAGTGTGTTCCCGCACGCGTGCTTCAGAAATCGCTGTGACTTGTAAATGTTCGCGGTGAAGCGAATCGGATTGGGTCGACTGGGCACTCCGAGGAGTGTCCCAGAGTACTCACAGCAGGTCCCCGACGGCGGAAATGGCCAACAGTAGCCTCCAGGACGCCCAAGATGAAATCGAGCTGCAGCGTGTTCTGGCGGGCATCTTCCGGAACACGCTAGGTGCCATTAGCTACTGCGCCCAGGGCAGGTCCCAAATCGAAGTTCTCGGAAGCCTCCTGGGGGGCTCTGGGGCCTCTTGGGGCCGTCTTGAGAGCCTCTCGGGCGCCTCCTTTGGGCCTGGGGGGGCTTCTTGGGGGCTTCTTGGGAGCTGCTTGGACTGTCCTAGGGCGCTCGTGGCCCGCCTGACGCCCCGGGCGGTCATCTTGGTGGACTTTTCAGGCCGTTCTGAAGGCCTTCTGAGGAGGCTGGTGGCCGTTGTTGGGGTCGTCTTTGGGGCTTGGGGCTGTCTGGGGCGTTTTAGACGCTGCTCAAAAGGCCATTGGGCCGCCTGGTGGTCACTTGGAAGCCCTTAGTGCGCCTCTTGGGCCTCTTGGAAAGATCTCCTGGCGTCTCAATTTTCTCGGGCCGGGCGCTTTCGCATAATCCCGGGCTCCTCGCAGATGGATCCGGCTCGACATCAGTTGGGGGGTACAGTCAACCCATATAGTAAGAATGCACGATAAGGATGCAAGGGCCTTGGAGGGCCATGTCGACACTTTGCGAGCGGGGCGAGGCCAGTGAGAGCGGCAGCGGATGAGCCGAGGGAGACGGATGCAAGGTGAACCTTGGAAAGCCGCTCATCCTGAGTGTGCGGGCTCAGTGCAAATCAGTTATGTAGTCGATCATCTACTCGAGTTGTAAGACAGCCGAAGGTCAGGGGGCGGCACGAACTCTGCGCGCGGCCCCTACGGCCAGGCGCACGGGGGGGGGGCGCTGCCCCAAGCCGCCAGGCGCACGGGGGGGGATCGCTGCCCCAAGCCGGGCGTCACCAGTCCGGGCGTCGCCCCGCGAGAGCCCCAGTCGCTTGCGGCCAAGACTGTGCCCACATCCACTGCAGCTTGGAGTTTCGGGCTCCCTCCCCAGAAACCCGAGGCGCACTGGATGTGGATAAGAATCTGGCCCCCAGAGACTCATATCCAGTGCGCCTCGGCCTTGCGGCGCCCCTTCCAAGAAAGTCCAAGGAGCCCCCAGGATTTCCAAAGAGGCCCCCACGGCCTCCAAAGCACCCCTCACGAGGCCAGGGGGCCCCAGGGGCTTCAAAAATGGGTCACAAAAGCTGGGGACATCTTTGGGCCAGGGGCACCTTTAGCAACCCCCAACGGAGAGATAGCCTCTGGGAAACTCCAAGATACCGATGCTGCTGCTCCCCTGACCTTTCCTGGGGGGCGTGCTGACCATGGAGATGTTCGGGGCGAGTCCGGCCGTGGCGACGAGGGCCTCCCAGGATGCCCAAGAAGGCGCGAACGAGGGAAGGGTAGCGGTGTTGGTGCCTATCCCTCCTCCGAGCTCCCCCTCATCCGGCCGTCCCTCCCGAAGCGGAGCGCCTCCTCCGCCTCACACCCGTCGACGGCCCCCGCGCCGTGGCCGCAGCCGATGCAAGCGCCGAAGTGGCGCGCCCACGACTGTGCCGCGGCCATCGCTGCAGCCGGCAGGAATGGAGGAACAAGGAAGGTAGGAGGGAAGAGAAGCCCTGACATCCTCGCGTCGTGAAAAAAAACATGACCGAAGATGTTGGACACCTGTCGTCCTCTGGGGGCCCTTACTGGGCCCTGGGACGGTCAGAAAGCCAGCCCGGGGGAAGGGGTCCAGACCTCTGGCAAGCCACATTGCAACAACAGAGCGACGTCAGATGTCTGGGAAGGAAAGGAGGAGGGAGGGGGGAGGGAAGCGGAGCGGAGGAGGGGCGGAAACCAGGAGGCAGGGAAGAAGAAAGAACGAATGGAACGACAGGAAGACTGATAAAGAAGAGGAGAGCAGTGCGCGTCTCGAGCCCGACTAAAACCACTGCGAAGCGGCCGTGCGAGATCTCCTAGTCGGACGGTCCGATCCTTCCCTCCGTCAACTCCCTCTCGTCTCCCCTCTCCTCTCTCTCTCTCTCTCTCCTTATCTCGTTAGGTCATTCTCTCTCTCTCTCGCCCTCTCTCTCTACCTCTGCCTAAAACTACTCCTCTCGATCTCGGGCTCTCTCTCTCTCTCTCTTTCTCTCTCTTTCTCTCTGTAACTCTCTCTGTGTCTCTACATGCAACTCTCGCTGTGTCTCAAGGAGGTGGGGGTGCTCTGGCTCGCTCGAGAGGCGAGCCAGAGCACCCCCACCTCCCCCTCCCCTCCCGGCACATGAACAAATCAGAAGCTGGGTTGCGCTGAAATACCGCCCGCCCCCTGGCACTCGCCCCTCCTCCGGTCTCCCTCCTCCTTCTCCTGCTCCTCCACCTCCTCCCGCGACACTGGCGGCGACGGCTACGGCCAGGACGACAGTAACGGCCACAACGGACGACCGCGACGACGACGGCGGCGACTGCCACGGCCGCGACGGCCATGACCGCGACGGCGGCGACGGCGGCGACGACGACTCCGCCGGGGGCCTCTGCGAGGCACTTGGCGGCCCAGAGGCGCACGCCGTGGTCGCGGTGGTGCAGGTTGGCGCTGGAGGCCGCCGCCCGCACCTTGCGACGCCCCGGCGGCGGGTGGCGCCGTCGTGATCGTCATGGCCGTGGCCGGCGTCGCCGTCGCCGTCGCTGTCGGCGTCGTCGTCGTCGCCGCCGCCGCCACCAACGCCCTCGCCATGGTCGCCGTCGTCGGCGCCATCGTCGTGGTCGCCGTCGTCGGGGCAGGAAGGAGGAAGGAAGCGCAGGACAAGGAGGGGAAAATGGGGGAGGGTGGGCGGAGGATGAGGAGGAGGAGGAGGAGGTATTTCCCTCGCAAAAATTAAAAAGCGTGTCAGCACGTGGATCCTGGAACGCGGCCGGAGTCGGAAAGACTCCCAGGACGCAACCGGCGACAAATAGATGGGCATCAGTGCTATACTTCCGCTGGAGAGGCAAGGAAGAGGGATGGGGAAGCGCAGCACAGAGCAGGAATAGCACATTGAGCAGCCGTGCGCTCGCGCGTGCGTGGATCAGTCAAGTTGGATGGCACCAGCACAGAGGGCCCTCCCGAGCAGAGGCGCACGCCAGAAAGGAGAAGAGAGAGACAGAGAGACAGAGAGAACAAGCGTAGACACGATCACAGTCAGATGGCTCCCCGGGCCCACGAGCCTAACACGGAAGGGAGGAGAAATGCGAACTACAGTGCCCGACACAACGCCGACCGACAGAAAGCACACTAAGTCGGGAGGCAAGGCTGACTAAGCAGGAAGCCCGATGATGCGAAGGGACCGAAGCCCCGCCGGGCGCTCGTATGGGCGGCCGTCACCTGACTTGCAAGCCGGGGCGACCCCTGGCGAAAACGGCGAATGCCGAGGAATCAAAGTCAGCAACAGCCCAGCCTTGCTATAAAAAAGAATGCAGCAGGGATGCGGAGAGAGAGAGAGAGAGAGAGAGTGAGCACACAACAACCGCGCAAGCTCCCTCCATGGTGTGGACGCGAACCGGACCTCCGCCAGATCTGCCGAGGGTGTCGGCGCTTCCTTCAGAACTCACGTGCCTGCGGGACTGGCTTTTTGGACGGCCGTCTGTGCAGGAGTCCTAGCTGGGGTCAGCGTATAGGCTAGGGCTCCCAACTTCGCGCTTCGCGCGCCGCGAAGCGCGAAGCGCGAATAACTTCGCGCTCTCGCGCCGCCCCCCCAAAGGGAGAAAAGGAGGACGAGGAGGAGGGGGAGAAGGAACGAGGACCGCGAAGCGCGAAGCGCGAAGAACTTCGCGCCCTCGTGGGAGCCCTTATATAGGAGACACACGAACCTACCTCGCCTTTGACCACCCTCGCTTCCAAAAGATGCCAAACGATATCAGGCTGCGGCCTGCACCAGTCAGGTCGCTGGACGAGGACGCGCGTGGTATGCCTTGGCCCTGTCTGGGAGCGAAAACGGGGCAGGTAATCCGCGCTCTGAGAGTCGGCCGCGGAGCTTTGGCGTGCCCATCGAGGCGGGCACGACTGCCCGCGACGGTGCCGCCACGGCAGCCGGAGCCGGGGCCGGAGCTGGAGTCGGAGCTGTAGCGCCGGAGCCGGCGCCTGCCCCGGAGCCCACGTGCGCCCGAGCCGGTGCCGGCACGGCCGGCGGCGCGGGAGAGTGGGAGCCGGAGCCGTGGCCGGCGTCGAAGGGAACGCACAGAGACAGACCGATACTGGATGTCCTCCTTGGAGGCGCGCGTCCGACCCGAAGATACAGTATACCCATCTTGTGGTATATCGTTTCCCGAGCGGTGTGGCCAGGAAGCGCCCGCCACGGCGCATATACTACAAGGTTTTTCGGTGCGCGCGTCGACCCTGGGGGGCGACGCACATATATAATAAACATGTCAGGGTGACGCTGATCGAAGTCGGAGCCGGAGCTGGCGTCAGAGCGGCGATCGGAGTTGGAGGAAAAGCTAGAGTCGGAGCATCCGTGCTCTCGCAGCCAGTCTCTGCGAGTATCATCCCAAGGTTCGAGAGCTGGTGCACGCGGGGTTACCGCGATGGGGGGGCCAGACGAATCCATAATCCACCTTAGCAAAGCTGAGGCCGATGGAAGCCCTGGTAGATCCTAAACACTCCGCAGAAACAGTTATGTCATGTATTCCCGCCTCTTAGCAGGTCCGGCCCGAGGCCAGCAATGTGTAGTCCACGAAGGAGTCGTTCGTAGCTGACGACGACGTCGTAGACACGCTGGTGCTGTTGGATGCACAGGTGCTGCTGCAAGCGATGCTGTGGGTTGCGCTGGTGCAGTTACGCATTGTGCTGCCAGTCCCGGTCGCGGTGCTCGCAGCGATGCTGTTGGCCGCCCTTTTGCAACTGCGCGTGGTGCTGCTGCGCGTTGTGCATTTCCATTGGCTCCTCACTTCGTCTAGGGGTCAGCGGAATGGCATAAGCCTCTTGAATATTCATCGACTCAGAATTGGCCATCGATGGATACCGCCTGCAGAAGAATACGCGCGAAGAGAATACTTACACACCACCCAATGCATGTTCTTCACGTTGGGGCGCGGTGGAGATCGCGACGCAATTTTACTACAACATTCCCCCGTGTCTAAATCCGACTGCAAGCCAAAGACGACGCGCATCAATACAGACACGCGGCCATTCCAAGAGACGAGCAACCAAGCTGCCAGAACAATCCAAAACATCAAAACTGGATCGCGAAGAAAAAACGATGCCCGAACGCCAAAAATAATATAATCCTGGCGCGCTGGTGCGATGTCCGTTCAGGCGCGTCGGTGCAACAGCTTCCCGGGCGCGATTGTGCGACAACTGCCCCACCACATCGGTGCAATAACTGTCCCGGCGCGCTAGTGCTATGACAGCTGCCCTGGCTGGCCGAGGCAATAACTGCCGCATTGCTCCAGTGCACTAGCTGGTCACTCGCTCTGCCAGAGCGCTGTTGCAATGGCTGTCCAGGCGCATTCGTGCAATAGCTGCCCTGACTTGCTGGGGCAAGCAGCGCGCCCCCCAGAGGAGAAATACTCTACCCTTACAGAAAGCAAGACTAGAGCCATGATGTTCAACTAGACGGAGGAGGAAAAGAAACGATATGGTGACCAGACGCAGCAATCCCAAGAGACGATCAACCAAGCGAACTGAACAACCACATGGATGTCTATACAGAGCCACGCAAGGAGCCAGTCTACCCGAACTGCGCACTGCAAACATCCCCCACGCGGTGATTCAAAAACTGCCAGGCGCCCTGGCGAAACAGCTGCCCCCGGCACGACGGTGCAATCGCTGCCCCGGCGCGCCACCGACATGCCTGTCCTGCCCTGGCGCGCCGGCGCTATTTTTCTCTCCTTGGCAGGAGGCTCGCTCTGGCCCGACTTTCTGGCCGAGCCGTTCCGACAGGGCGGCCTGGCCCAAGATTGGCTCGGGTCGGGCGAAAGGGGGGGATAGCAAAGGGGGTGGGGGGAGAATCACCTCACGTAGCTGATTTTCCAGGCGCCTCCTGGCGCCGGAGGCGACTATGTATCGAGGAATGGGCCCCTCGGTGGGGCCGAAACCAGCTGCATGCAGCAAATTTCGTAACCCCCCCTTTCCCAATCCCCCCCTTTCGCCTGGCCCGAGACAAGGGAAGGGCCCGCTGGAATTACCGGCGCACCGTCTTCATGACGCTGGACGTCACACCGCGACTTCCACGGGATGGTGTTGGGTGTTGTGGCAGCGGCCAGGCTGGAGAATGCCGTTCCTCTGATCCTGACAAATGCCCAAGCGCGCCAGCGCAAACACTGCCACGGCGCACTGCTGCAGTGACTGTCCTGGCGCTCCAGAGGATGCCGCGCATGGAAGTGCCACTCCGCACTGCGAGGAAGCCACGCGCCAACTTGCAACTGCGCTCGAAGGCCGCCCGCGCGAGCAGCTGCCAAAGACTCGAAGCGTGGGCCTCGAGCAGACCAAGGCGCAGCGGCGCGGTTGAGAACCCCCAGCTCGCAAAGGTGCGCGCCGATTGTGAAGCGGCCCCAGGACACACAAACAAAGACGCACAAATAAGAGTATTCCCCATATTGTCCCATACTTTCTGGGTTTTCGTCTCCCCCCCCCCACTCCCTATATCTTCCCATCTCTTCCTGGGAGTCGA